GGGGGGGGTTGATACCTGGATATCCAGGCATCAAATTTTGAATCCACACTACAAATATGCAGAGCAGCAAACCTTTTTTTGTTCCCAGGGTGCCTCTTGTTGCATCTCAAACTGCTTTCAGACGTAGCAAGAGGCACGTGCGGGCTTGTCTGGACACGCCCTCATTTTCCATAATACAAAACCCTTGCTCGGTTGATGATGTGGTGAGAACTCCTTGGCACATTAAGTAATATCTCATTGTCTCCTTGTACTCCCTTGTCTGTCTATATTCACTTGCTGTCTCTTGTCTTATTCTTTGATTGTAATCTCTTCCGGGTGGAGTGGTTTTTGTTCTAATGCAATGAGGTTCTGCTCCATGACTAGACTTCATAGTTCTGTTCCACTAACACCAATACTAATAATATTGCATCGCATATATCTTCCCATACAGGTTTGAGAGAGACCCGTTTTGTTTTTGATTTTCCTTATTATCAATATTTTACTGCACCTGATGTAAACTAGTTATTATTTCTATAGCTTCTTCAGTCTGGTGGCATCGAAGTAAATATCACAGGCTATACCATCAGAGAGAGGTTGTTAGACATGTCAGCTGGAGCACTGTTTCTGATTTCTTGTGTATAATTTTCTTATTGCAGTGGAAACAGGTTACAGACTCCTAATAAGGTGAATATGCTTATTTCTTAGCTGGGGGGTACTAACTGCACTAATTACAGGGGATCCAGCACATTTGTCTTCTCTCCTGAAGGAAAAAAAGGGGGCTTTTAATACATGTCTGAAAAGAACCTAGGAAAACAATGACCCCCAAGGATGGCAGAATAGGGGTTAGAATGGAGATAAAGGGAATGTGCCTTTTTATGGGAATATGGTCCTGGGAATGTGACAAATGGAGGCAGTTGTGCTTGAGGAAAAGGTACCTGTTGGTGTGTGAGAGAAATATTTGACAGTAACCAGGGTGAGAAGAGCAGCGAGAGATCACCAGGATATTAAAGTTAAGGAGTCACTGTGTCTTACAGCACAAACCTAGGGTTGATAAAATAAGAGAACTGACATTTCTGGGGGAAAAGGATTTTCAAATTGAGGAAAAAACATTGCAAATAAACTGCAGCAGAGAGTTGTATAACTTGTCAAAGCAATGCTGTTTAACTGAAGAACAGTTCCAGTAAGAGTTCTGCTAACTTCCCATTGAGGTGAAGTCACAGAGAAACTATCACAAGCCTATAAGGACTACCGCTTGGATGTGCCCCACTTTACACATTTTTTTTACCTAGCCACTTAGCTTGGTTTAAATGGAGATATTTACTATAATGATTTAGAGGTTTGAGGGAGGTCTTCTATGTGATCAGGAAAGAATTCTTATTGACAGCAAATAGAAAAACACACCATCCCAGAGCAAGAAGTAGACACACAGCCAAACTCTGCTGTGGGTGACGTCAGGGGCAAAGTTTCCATTGACTTCAGTGGGACCAGGATTAGTCTGATACTGAATCAAAGGAGCCTAAGAAAAAGGATGGAAACATTATTTTAACCCCGCCCCCCCCCCACCCCCCCGTAGAATCTAAACTCATAGCTAATAACAGGCTGGATGCATTCTGCAAATAACTCATGACACTTGGTGTGTACTTGTGAACCAGTGTTGTCAACCACGGGCTCCTAGCTGCTAATCACCGGGCTCCAGCAGAATCCAGCATTGTATGCATCAGTGTCTCTGTGCAGAAAACTGGTGGTGGGGGCACTTTAACTAAAGCTCGTTTAACAAGCTTTAGTTAAAGTGCTCCTGCCACCATTTTTCAGCACAGGGACACTGAGATACATGATGCTGTAGGTGTTTAAATTAAAGCTTCTTTCCCCTCAACCCCTCCTGCTCCCCACACTCCTGGAGCACATGTATAAATGCCCTTTATCGCTACTAGAAAATAGTTTTGGCTTGATTCAGCAGAGTATTCTGGTATATGTTTTTTGAACTATGCTTTAAGGCCACCTTCACCAGGTGAAGTATTTAAGCATCTGCTTAAAATTAGCACCGCCTGAGTCTCATTGAACTCAACAGAGAAGTTTAGATGTTTTCCTGATCTAGCCCTATTAAATTATTGCAGAAATTAATTCTCAATCCCCAAAATGATTCCCCATCCCAAAGAGCTCCAAATCAATGACTATATAAAATAAATACCAAAAACTTCAAATTAAAATACTGTCTGTACCCTAAAATTACTTTCTATGTCTCCTTCCTGGAACAGAGTGAAAGGGTCTATGCCCCATTTGAAAGGACAGGATAAGGTGAAATGTAGTTATAAATTTGAATATCATAACCATGTTTTGCTGCAGGACATACTAGTATTCTGGGGACACTGTCAGGATTGGCTTACTGTGATTTTTCTAGTAGGACAATAAAAAGTACTGCCAAGAATTTGGGACAGACATTTTGGGTATCTGCTTTGGCTTGCTTTTTAAAGAAATACACTTAACTAAATGCACTGTCCCTCAATTTCAGTCAAATTCCCAGTCATCCTATGGAGCTAAATTAAGATCTAAGAATAAATTAAAGAAAACTTCCTGGAGGGTAAAAGTTTATCCTCTTTAATACTCTATGTGGATTCAATGCATTGAGTCATCTTCATTATAGTGCAACAAAACACAACTTCAGACCTAAAATAATCAGCAGTATGAGTCATATCACCCATTGCTTAAGGTCTAAAGTCATGTTCTAGCATTGCCATGTAACACAAGCAGTTTGAGCTGACTAAAAAATAAAATTGTTTAGCATGGAAAAGGGAATAAATCTGATGAACTGTTAAAAGAAGTCTGAGAAGTTTATATGACTTTCTACATCGCTACATCATCTCACAATGGGGACACAGCTAAGCCCTGCTGGATATGTGAAGAATCATGTTTGCAGTCTACATGGCTGAAGTGTAAGTTATTCTTTGACCCAGTCCATGAGAGGTTTTCCATCCACTACAGTGCAAAGTGGCTTGACCCCTTGGCAATGTGGGAAAAGAGAAGGGTTGTAACATAATGAATTGTCAGTGTGCAATTGGTGTAAAGTATGTCTCAACAAGAAGTGCACTTGTAGGCAGTGAACTTCCAAAGAAAAGGCCGGGTAACAAATCATTTCAGGTTCTGAGATGAGGTGAAAAAGCCGTTTTGTGTGTTCAACAGGTGTCCAAGCCTTCTGAAAATCAGACTTTGTTTAATGTTTAAAAGCATGCCGAGGAAATTTCCAGAAGCTTTTAAAACTTTCCAGAGACTCTGAATGTAGATGTCTATTGTAACCTGAGGAAACAACATCACTTTAGATAGCTATTGACTGCATTTAAAAAAAACCCACACTTGCTAATAATAATTGCATTTTTTTTTAATCTACGTTTTAAAAAATTAAGCACTTAAACATCCCAGGCATCTCTTAAGCATAAATGAGGACATAAAGTCTGCCCTCTGGGGCCTCTGGCAGAAATTTGGTATAACAACAAGTGAAAGGCAGGCAGGAAAGGGGACTGGGAAGAAGGGAATACCGTGAAGGAGAGTACTAAGATTACTGAGTAACTCAGTAAAGGCATGTAGTATATCTTGATGGAAAAAAGGTACACCTGCGTCAACAGAAGTCTTCCCAGTAATTTTTGCATTCAGAGGTAGGCGCTTCTCTTTTTAGTGTGGACTACACAGTATTTTGAATTTTTCTCCCTCCCCCCCCAACACACACACACACACACACACACACACACACACGCCAGGTGGTTGTTGTTCCCCAGTGGCTTACTACAGTGTTTTGTGGGGCTTTGCGGGGGTGCAACCAGCACAGCAACAGTGGGTGCTGCTGAATCCGTCCCCACAGCCCCACTCACCTGGCCAAAAAACCAGTCAGAACATCTCTGCGTCTTGACTCCAGTTATCTGATTTTAACTTTGATAAGCGGGCAGTTCTCCTCTCTGGCATCTTTTCACATTCCCATTAAGAAAGTGTTTAAAGTTGTTTCCACATGAGTACATCCCATTCCTTGCCTGCAGCACCCCCACAAGCTGGGGTGTGTCTCCAGGTGAGGCTGAGTAGTGAAGCAGGAATTTTCCAGAGCCGGGAGGCAGCAGAGCTGTTGCAAGAGGAGCGTGCTGCTTTCGCTGGGATCAGAGCACCACACTCTGGAGAAACACGTGAAGGATTTTCTTACTTACTTGCATGGTACTTCTCCTGGCCTGACTCTTCTGCAGCCTGCCTCACTCTCTAAACAATGTCTACAGAGATGCTTTGTCTCCAGCGCTGGCCACTTTTGTGACAAATTCTCTCTCCTTAGTCCGCAATCACCTCAGATAGTCAGGGTTAGTAGTCTCAGTTCAGTTCTTTCCCTGAATATCTAGCGCTACTGATTTCCCCTCAGCCCAGGAAGTCATAGGGAAGGACAGGCTAATGAAACATGCTAATGAAACACTCCCCCAGCTCAGTGTGATTCTCTGATGCCAAGGAATAGACCCATCTGCAAGCACATTCTTGAATGCAGTAGTTTCTGGTCTTTGACAAACGTATTTGGGGACAAGAAGTCCGTGAGGAACAGAGAATGATTCATCGGACTGTATTTCCAATGAGATTGTAGTACAGTTTGTCCCTGTCAGATTTTAAATGACCATCAAAAAAAATAGATTGGATGACAAGAACAGAGGGGTAGAAAACAACACGTGAAAGGGATTCAGATTGTAGTTCTTGTTAGGAAAGAATTGTTTACCATTGGGCAAAATACCTGTGAAGTCTGGGGTTTCCTGGGGGGGAATTGGGTGGGGGGGTTGGTTTTTTCCTGTTTTTTGTTTTACACAATAGAGTTGGCCAGAAAAAGTGATTTTTCCTTTTCAAAGAAAATTTGACTGTTACAGCTCAGTAACACAGTAAAGAAAACATTTCTATTTTTTTTCTACAATAAAGAAAACATTTCTATTTTTTTTCTACAATAAAGAAAACATTTCTATTCAGAAAATTCATTTGTTCATATTCTATTCATTTCTATTCTGCTGCTTTGTGGGAATTGTAGTTTGGTTGCTATATGAGACACTAACCAGACTCATTCTCTTCTTTGGGCAGATCTTCTAACCAGACTACATCTTCCCTCTTACAAAGCCACTGTAATACACAATAGGACTTCCTGATCAAGCTGCAAGAGGTGTAGTCCATTTGGGAGTTTGGAAATCATTTTTAAATACATATATGTGGGCAATTCCAGGGGTAGGAGACAGCCAGAAGAAGGGACAGAAGCAGGAGTGAGAAACAGAGCAGAATGAACTACGATTCATGTCAGGGATAGCAAGGAGTGGTCTGAGACGAGGGAAGGGAAGAAGAAAAGACAGGAAATCAGTGCCTAAAGGGGCAAAAATTAGTGTAAATCTAATGTTAATAGAAGTATGACAGTTTTCACCAGCTGAAAGACCTTGTGTTGGGTTGAGTGAAGTAAGGCTTTAGATACAAGGGCAAACAGCCTGAACTTGATCATAGCACAATAATGCAGATCCATCTATTGGTATCAGATGGCAGGTGCTATATGCAAATATCAGGTCAATGGTAATCTTGCAGAACCTTTTTGACAAACCAAAAGCGAGCAAAGAAATCAGCCACATAATCTAATTCCAACATATTCCAGTACAGCAGAATATGACCATTTTTAACAGAGAGGCAGTTGTATTACTACTATCAATAAAAGTTAACATCAAGGATAAATTTAACTCACAAGATAGTGCATTCTGTCTAAAATAGTAGACAAGGTTACTGAGAAAATGCCATTTTACTATCTTTTATGCTGACAATGAGTGAGGGAAAAATGTCTTCTAACTAGGTAATGCCAACACATTTCAGTAGGACAACTAATTTATTCTAGCTGTTTGAGTCTGCCACCCCCAGAGTTTCTCCACGACTCCCACAGCTGGGCTTAGCGCAATCACTTTAAACTTAGACTAGGTTAATGGATAGGCTTCTTTGACATCTGCAAGAAAGGGAACATAAATTGCTTAGTGCCAAACTATGAATTAATACAAAAGCAAACTACTCAGAGGTGTTTTTATAGGTAACCAAAGGAGCATCACCAGAACTATCAGGACTACAGAGAAAGTTGCAGCCTCCCCTTGTGGGAGGCTTCTCTATAGACCAGTGGTCTCCAACCTCTTTAAATAGGAGATCACTTTTGAAATTTAAAAGCAACCCAAGATTTACCATGCACTGCGCCCCCCAGCAGGTAAATCTGTGGGGGAAGGGGCAGAGGGAGGGGAAAGAGACATGGGGGGAAGATGGAGGCCCCAGCCCTAGCCCCACCCCCTCCCTCACCACTGGGGCCTCGATCTGCCCCACTCCTCAATGGCAGTAAGGGAGGGAGTGGGGCAGGGGCAGGGACAGAGCTGCAAGCAGCTCATCTGGGGGGTGTGAGGAGGGGGCACATGCAACCTGGAAGAACACGGCAGGCACGTGACCCCAGTTCTGCACAAGGGGTGGGGCAGGGCAGGCTGCAGCTGTGGGCTGGGGCCAGCCTGTTCC